GAAATTTTTTTTTCTCCAAAGTAAATCCGGTTCCATTCTTTAACAACATGTTTACATCCGACTAAATATAATAGGAGGAGACAGATTGGCGAGGGAAATCTTGTTCACTTTAACGAATTTACGTGTGAATGGAGTGCTAATTTGTGTGGTGTAATGAATTCACAGTCCGCACATAAGAGAATAGACGTGTAGATAAACACTGTCGCGTAAGAGTTTGTATGGTTTTATGAAATAATCATGCATCATTTATCATAACTTCAAAGAAGATCTTTGTTTTTGTTTTTAGTGCACGAGTCTACATGTCATTGAAAACAGCCATGATAAGTAAACAGCCATGATAAGTTGCGTGCCACTTAAGCCTAATAAAATTCCTGGCCAATTGTTAATATTTTTTTAATTTAATTTAAACATTTATTTTTAAATTAATATATTAAAGAATTTTTAATATCAATATTACAAATATTAACTTTTAATTTTAAAACTAATCATCAACATCTACTTTTAAATAATTTCAGTCCAAAAATTCTTTAATTTATATTAATTTTAATCACAAGGAAAAACATGTAATTTTTAATTTATTTATTATAGCTTTTATTTTATCTGTTTTATCTATTAAATTTTTCTCAAATTTCCTTTTTAAATTTATTCACTTTCATCTATTAATCCTTCAAAATAAATAATACAACAATCTCCTCTTTGTTCCCTTAAGTCATTTCATTTACTCTCTGAAATCTATTTACTAATGTGAACAAATAAAAGTCACAACCTTTAAAATCTTTAATTTGAAATAAGTGACAATAAAGAATTTCATTATGGTGTAATTTTGACGAATATATATATATATATATATATATATATAATATTGGGAAAGTCATTTTATAAGTTGATTAAATGAGTAACAAAAGTTATTAGACAAGTTTAAAAATACGTTGATTGATTAGATGAGTATGACAAACAACATTAGATGGGTTTTCGATGTATTGATTAAACGAGTTTAACAATACACATTAGACAGGTAACTCATATATTGATTAA